GTGAAAAAATTTTTCCTAATATCCAGCCTGAACCTCCCCTGGAGCAACTTGAGGCCATTTCCTCTTGTCCTGTCGTCTGTGACTTGAGAGAAGAGAGGTTATGCTAAAGGTGACATACTGTTTTACAGAACTGGAGCTTCTATTTATCCCTTGATAACAGTGGATTCTGTTAAGTACCGTGTTTTTAACAGAGGGTTTAGAGCAGCTGCTCCTGTTGCAATCTGTATAACGGCGAAGGCAGAACAGAAGAATGTCTGGTCGGAGATAGCCAGCATTTAATATCTTGACAAACAGCTTCCACTCCAGTACACTCCATCCCGGCAGGGAAGGCAAGAGAAGGGAGGGGAAAGCTTGCCAAATTCACAAGCCTGAGGAGCAGGTTGTGATTTATTTCCTTTGACTCCCAGAAGGAAGTTCTGCCTTATCTTTAGCATTATACCTGGCACAGACAGTTGATGAGTGGAGACAACTCTTTGCTTTGGGTTTCCACAAATCTAAAATTCCTCAAGTGACAACTATGGCCAGGCAAAGCATTTCACTGGGAGGCACTCTGATGCTGAGGCTGTGCCAATGTTATTATGTTAAAAGTGTATTTTTAAAATGCATCATAAGTTGGATTTACTGGTGAAGCTCCAAAGAAAATAAAATACTTAACCAGTCACAAAATTTATGCTAGGCCACATGGCATATTTATTTGCTAAATTATCAAATGTGACAATCTCTAAACCATTTAGCAATTAAAATACATGATTTTTTAAAAATCCGCCTATTTAGAACTCTTCCACATTTTAATGCTTAGAGTAACTTTAAGCACTGACAAACCATACAAAAAAGGCTCCAAAAATGTAGATGCCAATTCTGCAAAACCTAAACTATTAGAAATATCTGACATCAGTGACACCAACTACTTCTCATTTTGAATAGGAAAATACTTTCATTCTTGGTACACATCAGATTTTCTAACATGAAAACAAGCGACTAACAATTCAATTATGATTCTTTCTTGCCTTTACTTAGGAGCCATGTTTCTTTGGGGGGGTGTGTGTTTAAAAAAACAAAGGGGCCTATTTGCTTTTCAAATCACCATTCTCCCAATCCTGGATGCCACTCACAGAACGTGCCCAGAGCACAGACCCTGCAAAACAGCCGTGTCATTCTGTTGGTACGTTTAAAACCACAGGTTTTAAACAGAAATGCCTGTGTGCATATACATACGGGTAGAGGATGGAAATTAAAAGTTAGCAGTGTAATTGAGAATCCAAACCAGAGCCCGTTAATTTATCTAGGACCAGCAGAGTTTACTCACTGCTGTACGGAACTGCTGCACCACAGGAAAGGAAAGAAAGGGAGAATGGATGGGTTGGGTTTTGATTTTTGTTAGGTTTTTTTTTGCAGGGGGGAAATTTGTTGGGTTTGGAAGGGAAGCATCTGACATCAGTGACACCAACTACTTGTTTTGAATAGGAAAATACTTTCATTCTTGGTACACATCAGATTTTCTAACATGAAATATCTGACATCAGTGACACCAACTACTTCTCATTTTGAATAGGAAAATACTTTCATTCTTGGTACACATCAGATTTTCTAACATGAAAACAAGCGACTAACAATTCAATTATGATTCTTTCTTGCCTTTACTTAGGAGCCATGTCATAAGTTGGATTTACTGGTAAAGCTCCAAAGAAAATAAAATGCTTAACCGGTCACAAAATTTATGCTAGGCCACATGGCATATTTATTTGCTAAATTATCAAATGTGACAATCTCTAAACCATTTAGCAATTAAAATACATGATTTTTTTAAAATCCGCCTATTTAGAACTCTTCCACATTTTAATGCTTAGAGTAACTTTAAGCACTGACAAACCATACAAAAAAGGCTCCAGAAATGTAGGTGCCAATTCTGCAAAACCTAAACTATTAGAAACATCTGACATCAGTGACACCAACTACTTGTTTTGAATAGGAAAATACTTTCATTCTTGGTACACATCAGATTTTCTAACATGAAAACAAGCGACTAACAATTCAATTATCATTCTCTCTTGCTGTTATTTAAGAGCTTTGGGGGGGGGGGGGGTTAAAAAAAACAAGGGGCCTATTTGCTTTTAAAATCACCATTCTCCCAATTCTGGATGCCACTCACAGAACGTGCCCAGAGCGTACACATCAGATTTTCTAACATGAAAACAAGCGACTAACAATTCAATTATGATTCTTTCTTGCCTTTACTTAGGAGCCATGTTTCTTTGGGGGGGTGTGTGTTTAAAAAAACAAAGGGGCCTATTTGCTTTTCAAATCACCATTCTCCCAATCCTGGATGCCACTCACAGAACGTGCCCAGAGCACAGACCCTGCAAAACAGCCGTGTCATTCTGTTGGTACGTTTAAAACCACAGGTTTTAAACAGAAATGCCTGTGTGCATATACATACGGGTAGAGGATGGAAATTAAAAGTTAGCAGTGTAATTGAGAATCCAAACCAGAGCCCGTTAATTTATCTAGGACCAGCAGAGTTTACTCACTGCTGTACGGAACTGCTGCACCACAGGAAAGGAAAGAAAGGGAGAATGGATGGGTTGGGTTTTGATTTTTGTTAGGTTTTTTTTTGCAGGGGGGAAATTTGTTGGGTTTGGAAGGGAAGGTTGTTTGGGGTTGGTTTGTTTTGTTTTTATACTTGGGGTTTTTTTTGCAGGGGAGAAATTTGTTGGGTTTGGAAGGGAAGGTTGTTTGGGGTTGGTTTGTTTTGTTTTTATACTAGCTCCCTAGTGTTAAAAACAAGAACTTTGGCGAGCCAGAACTCTCTCAATCTGACTGTAGCATGCTTCCTCTTCCCTTCCAGCCGTTGGTGACCTCCCTCCTGGATATACAAACTTCAGACAGTCCTGCCAGGAGAGTTTCAAATAAAGGCTCACACCCTGGCAGCTATTTCCTTCCAAGGCCCAGCAGTCCCCAGGTACCACAGTTTTTATAAAGGTTATACCACTTCACCGCTGAGGAATCTGCCTCCCCCTTTGCTCCCCAGCTCTTCTGGAGAAGGAGAACTGTTCTAAGTTGAATGTGAGCACAGCAGATCCTACACAGATCCTTCCACCACTGACTGGAATGGGAGGGATAAAGCCTTGAAGTTGTTCTTTCTCACCCATGTGTGGAGGCCCCGTGTTAATACTGGCAGTTTTTTAAGCCAGCAATTAAGTCCCATTACAAAAATAAAAATAAAAGAAGCTTCCAATTACTCTTATTTATACAGGATTCATCCAAGATAAAACACACATGCAAACAAAACTGCACCACTGATGGGAATGGGAGGGATAAAGACTTGAAGTTGTTCTTTCTCACCTGTGTGGAGGCCCCATGTTACTACTGGCAGTTTTTTAAGCCAGCAATTAAGTCCCATTACAAAAATAAAAATAAAAGAAGCTTCTGATTACTCTTATTCATACAGGATTCATCCAAGATAAAACACACACGCCAACAGCTCCTTACAGAGCGAGTTCAGGTTCAGTGAGGTTTTGCGGTTAAATGCAGCATCACAAAACACAAAAAGGTTGTTTGTGAGGCCCAGAAGGCATTTAGCTGGTTTTTGTGCTGCACAGAACCCCGCTGATGAGCCTGCAGGACTCCGGCTGACTCGTCCACCACCATCTGGGTACCTCCAGTCTCGCCTTGCTGAAACGCAGAAACCAGCAGGTTGGTGCTCACTCAGTTCTGGCCCCAGGCCAGGCCAGCCCCGCTGGCCAAAAGATGACTCCTGCAGAACCACAGGCACCTGCTTTATTTCCAACAATCTGCCTTCTCGCCAACGTTTCAGTTTCCTAGAAGATTGGTTAGCTCTAGCACGAACACCCAGAGCCAGGCAGGGCTGATCAGCCATCCCAAAAACTCAAGCATGGAGGAGCCCGTGCCAGGAACCCGCTGGGCAGCACCGGAGAGAACAGTGAACTAACCACACTTTAAAAAACACAAAACAAGTTTTCTCTTCTAGACAGTAATAAGCAATTTCACAACTGAATAATTTTTTGCCACTGCAAGGGAGATTTGCAACGCAAGAGTAAGGGAAAAGAAAAGCCTCCAAAAGACTTGAAATATTCGATGCACTTCTCTTCATTTATTTTACCAGCACTTACTGGTCTGCTTTAGGAAGCTCACTGAATGTCTTCTGTATGACTTCCATCCGCTTAAGTCTTTCCAAATATAGTCTGTGATGCACAGAATCTAGTTCAACAAACTCTCTTCCTGTCATCTTGAAGTCCTGCATCATAAGGAACAAACAAACAAATGTAATCAGAGTTACACAGCCCCACTATGTATCAAATAAAATTTTAGACTCTTTGGGCACTATGCAATTGCAAATGCAGTTCCTATTTGCAGAACTTTGGTCTTCATTGCTAAAGCTGTCCCTCATGAATCCCAGACCCTGGAGGCAAGGGGGAAGGTCTGGAGAGAGGAAGGCTTTCCCTCAGTAGAGGAAGACCAGGTTAGAGACCACTTGGCCAAACTGGACATCCATAAGTCCATGGGCCCTGACAGGATGCACCCCCAAGCGCTGAGAGAACTGGCAGATGTTATTGCTCTATTGCTGAGCTGCTCTCCGTCATCTTTGAAAGGTCATGGAGAACAGGAGAGGTGCCTGAGGACTGGAGGAAAGTCAGTATCACTACAATCTTCAAAAAGGGCACGGAAGACCCAGGGAACTACAGGCCAGTTAGTATTACAATCTTCAAAAAGGGCACGGAGGACCCAGGGAACTACAGGCCAGTTAGTCTCACGTCCATCCCTAGGAAGGTAATGGAGCAACTCGTCCTAGATGTCATCTCCAAACACGTTGCAGAACAATTATTTTAAGTGGTCAACATGGATTTACCAAGGGTAATTCCGTCCCTGGGAAGGTAATGGATCATCATCCTGGATGTCATCTCCAAACACATTGCAGAACAGTTATTGTAAGTGGTCAACACAGATTTACCAAGGGTAAATCATGCTTGACCAATCTGATAGCCTTCTATGATGTTATAACTGGATGGCTGGATGAGGGGAGAGCAGCAGATGCCATCTGCCTTGACTTCAGCAAGGCTTTTGACACCGTCTCCCACAACATCCTCATTAGGGAATTGAGGAACTGTGAGCTAAACGAGGGGACAGTGAGGTGGATTGAGTCCTGGCTGTGTGACAGAACTCAGAGGGTTGTCATTAATGGAGCAGGGTCGAGTTGGAGGCCTGTAACCAGTGGTGTCCCTCAGGGGTCAATACTTGGCCCAGTCCTGTTCAACACAGTCATCAATGACCTGGGCGAGGGGACAGAGTGTATCCTCAGCAAGTTTGCTGATGACACCAAACTCGGAGGGCTGGCTGACACTCCAGAGAGCTGTGTGGCCATCCAGCGTGACCTGGACAGGCTGGAGAGCTGGGCAGAGAAGAACCTAATGAAGTTCAACAAGGGCAAGTGTAGGGTCCTGCACCTGGGGAGGAAGAACCCCAGGCACGAATATAGGTTTGGGGTGGACCTGCTGGAAAGCACTGCTGAGGAGAAGGATCCGGGGGTCCTGGTGGACAGTAAACTATCCATGAGCCAGCAATGTGACCTTGTCACCAAGAGGGCCAATGGAACCCTGGGCTGCACAGGGAAGAGTGTGGACAGCAGGACCTCAAGGGAGGTCATTCTCCCCCTCTACTCTGCACTGTGGGGGACAAAACTGGAATACTGCCTCCAGTTCTGGGCTCCCCAGTTCAAGACAGACAGGAAACTACTGGAGAGAGTCCAGTGGGGGGCAACTAAGATGATTAAGGGATTGGAGCACCTCCCTTAGGAGGAAAGGGAGAGAGAGCTGGGACTCTTTAGCCTGGAGAAGAGAAGGCTAAAAAGAAGAAGAGGGGAGACCTTATTAATGCTGACAAGTATCTAAAGGGTGGGTTGAAGGATGATGGAGCCAGACTCTTTTCAGTGGTTTCCAGCGACAGGACGAGGGGCAACAGGCACAAGCTGGAACATGGGAAGTTCCACTCAAATATGAGGAAGAACTTCTTTCCAGTGAGGGTGCCAGAGCCCTGGAACAGGCTGCCCAGGGAGGTCGTGGAGTCCCCTTCTCTGGAGACTTTCAACACCCGCCTGGATGCAGTCCTGAGTGATGTGCTCTGGGCACTCCTGCTTTGGCAGGGGAGTTGGACTAGATGATCTCTAGAGGTCCCTTCCAACTCTGACAATTCTGTGATTCCATGATTTTTCATGGCAGATTTTTCAGAGGGCACAATCCAGCTACAGAAATCTGTGATATTTATGACTACACACACCGTACTGAACTGCTGGCTTTAGTGATGTTCCAGCAGTAGTTCGACAGTTGCTCCAAACCAACTTAAGTCCTTGCTCTGATGAAAATTGATGGCCTCACCCTCCAGACTCTCCTGCCCCATCACTTCCAACCCCGGGGCCATACAGCAGCTTGGATCAGGAAACACAGATATAAAAACTGCTCAGAGGAACAACAGGATGTGTACTTGTTTTTTCCAGCTGGCTCACCTTCTAACACAATGATCCCTACTGCCAGCAGCACAGAGGAAGACACTAATGGGCCAGCAGATTTTGGCTGCACTCCACACTTCAATTGACTTGACAATTTAAATTGGCCCAGGTTGCCCAGAGAAGTTGTGGATGCCCCATCCCTGGAAGCGTTCAAGGCCAGGCTGGATGGGGCTTTGAGCAACCTGGTCTGGTGGGAGGTGTCCCTGCCCACGGCAGGGGGTTGGAACTTGATGATGTTTGAGGTCCCTTCCAACTCTAACCATTCTATGATTCTGTGAGTTAACTGTCAAACTCCTAAGGATAAAAACCCAAATAAATTCATCCTTTGTAAAGATTTAAAGAAATCACAAAGATACCGACCCTGCTTTTATATTCCCTGCCTAAGGAAGCTTTTTATTGGTACTCTTAGCCAGAGATATTTATCAAGTCAGAATGCACACAGTTGTTTGTGGCAAAGTTTTGGTAGCAAGGGGGCTACGGGGTGGCTTCTGAGAAGACAACAGAAGATGCCCCCATGTCTGAAAGAGTGAATGCCAGCTCGCTCCAAGATGGACCCACTACTGCCCAAAACTGAGCCCATCAGTGACAGTGGTAGTGCCTCTGGGATAACATAGTTAAGAAAGTGGAAAACCACTGCACAACAGCAGCCAAGAGAGAGGAGTGAGAATATGTGAGAGCAACAACTCTGCAGACATCCAGGTCAGTGAAGAAGGAGGGGAGAAGGTGCTCCAGGCACTGGAGCAGAGATTCCCCTGCAGCCCTGCACCAGTGAAGACCATGATGAAGCAGGCTGTCCCCCTGCAGCCCCTGGAGGTCCACCTGCAACCTGTGGAGGACCCCACGCCAGAGCAAGTGGATGCCCGAAGGAGGCTGTGACCCTGTGGAGAGTCTGCACTGGAGCACGTGCCTGTCAGGACCCATGGCCCCAGGCAGAGAGCAGCCCACGCTGCAGCAGGTTTGCTGGCAGGACTTGTGACCCTACAGGAGATCCACGCTGCAGAACCTGTTCCTGAAGAACTGCATCCCCTGGAAGGGACCCACGCCGGAGCAGTTCGTGAAGAACTGCAGCCTGTGGGAAGGACCCACACTGGAGAAGTTTGTGGAGAACTCTCTCCTGTGGGAGGGATGCCATGCTGGAGCAGGGGAAGAGCGTGAGGAAATCTACTCCCCCTGAAGAGGAAGCAGCAGCAGAGACAACATGTGATGAACTGACTGCAAACCCCATTCCCCATCCCCCTGCACTGCTTGGGGGGAGGAGGTGGAAAAATGAGGAGTGAAGTTGAGCCTGAGAAGGGAGGGGTGGGGGGAAGTTGCTTTTAGATTTGTTCTTATTTCTCATTAAGCTATTCTGTTTAAAGTGATGAGTGGTGTTCCTCAGGGGTCCATACTGGGACCAGTGCTGTTCAATGTCTTTGTTGGAGACATGGACAGTGGGATAGAGTGCACCCTCAACAAGTTTGCCGATGACACCAAACTCGGTGGTGTGGTCGACACGCTGGAGGGAAGGGATGTCATCCAGAGGGACCTGGACAGGCTTGAGAGGTGGGCTCGTGCAAATCACATGAAGATTAACCAAGCCAAGTGCAGGGTCCTGCACCTGGGATGTGGCAACCCCAGGCACAAATACAGGTTGGGCGAAGAATGGCTGGAGAGCAGCCCTGAGGAGAAGGACTTGGGGGTGTTGGTGGATGAGAAGCTTAACATGAGCCAGCAATGGGCACTGGCAGCCCAGAAAGCCAACCACATCCTGGGCTGCATCAAGAGAAGCGTGGCCAGCAGGTCACAGGAGGTGATTCTGCCCCTCTACTCTGCACTCGTGAGACCCCACCTGGAGTTCTGTGTCCAGCTTTGGAGTCCTAAACACAGAAAGGACATGGATCTGCTGGAACGGGTCCAGTGGAGGGCCACGAGGATGATCAGAGGGATGGGGCACCTCCCCTATGAGGACAGGCTGAGAGAGCTGGGGTTGTTCAGTCTGGAGAAGAGAAGGCTCTGGACCTTATAGCGGCCTTTCAATATCTGAAGGGAACCTACAGGAGAGCTGGAGAGGGACTCTTTGTCAGGAAGTGTAGTGACAGGACAAGGGGTAATGGTTTTAAACTGGAAGAGAGGAGATTTAGATGAGATACTAGAAAGAAATTCTTTACAGTGTGGGGGGTGAGACACTGGAACAGGTTGCCCAGGGAGGTCATGGTTGCCCCATCCCTGGAGGTGTTCCAGACCAGGCTGGATGGGTCTTTGGGCAACCTGGTCTGGTGGGAGGTGTCCCTGCCTGTGGCAGGGGGGTTGGAATTAGATGATCTTTAAGGTCCCTTCCAACCCAAACCACTCTATGATTCTATGAAAAGGCAATAAACTAAATCAGTATCCTCAAGTCAAGTCTGTTTTGTCTGTAATGGTAACTGGCGAGTGATCTCTCGCTGTCCTTATAGTGACCCATGTGCTTTTTCCTTCTCCCCTTCTCCTGTTGTTGGAGGGGGTGTGAGATAGCAGCCTGGTGGGCACCTGGCAGCAGCTGAGGTCAACCCACCACAACACCTTCTTATTAAACCTGCTCATTTAGTGATTCAAATGCTTTCCCTAGATGTTTCTCCCCAGAGGAAAGTTTCCCAGGCTTCTTTTGTGAGCCATACTTACCTCAAGTTTCTCTCAGGATATGGGGCCTGTGTCCCACAGCCCCTCTGTGGGATGGCGCTCGCTCCGAGCTGGGCGGATACAGGAGAAGCAGCAGGGCCTCACCGGGGATTGGCGGGGCCGGTGCCAGCCTTGAGGCCTGTTCCTGCGGTAAACCACAGAATCACAGAATCTTCTAGGTTGGAAGGGACCTTAAAGATCATCTTGTCCAACCGTCAACCTAACTGACAAAAATAGACACCCACACAACAAACATGAAGCATCACCATCACTAAACCATACCTCCCAGCACTACATCAACCCGTCTTTTGAACACCTCCAGGGATGGTGCCTCAACCACCTCCCTTGAGGCCATTTCCTCTTGTCCTGTCGCCTGTGACTTGAGAAAAGAGACCGACCCCCATCTCTCTACACCCTCCTTTCAGGGAGTTGTAGAAAGCAATAAGGTCTCCCCTCAGCCTCCTCTTCTCCAGGCTGAATAACCCCAGTTCCCTCAGCCTCTCCTCATAAGACTTGTGCTCCAGACCCCTCACCATCTTTGTCGCCCTTCTCTGGACCCACTCCAGCACCTCAATGTCTTTTTTATGGTAGGGGGCCCCAAACTGGACACAGTACTCGAGGTGAGGCCTCACCAGTGCCGAGTACAGGGGGACAGACCCACAGACATTCCCTCAGGGAGCTGCCAGCGCCCGTCACACCGCCCTCCCTCCGGCTGGAGGTCCCCAAACCCCCCGGGCCCGGCTCAGGGCAGAATCCCCCACAGGGCGAGGCTGCGGATCTCACCTTCCCCCCGGCTTTAAACTCCACCGAACGCCGTTAGCGACCCCCCCCGCCCCGGCACCGCACTCACCCTCACAACCTTCCCGCCGGGGCCGGGCTCCCACCTGAGCGACCTTGAGCTGTCCCCGCCGCCACCGGTTCGTCCCCCCTCCCTCACCGAGCCGCTCCCGCCGAGAAGGCCCCGCCACCTACAACATGGCCCCTCCCACCTCACGCCCCTTCTGCTGGGCGCCGCCATCTTACCTCTCTCACGTGACCCAGGCCTTCAAGAGGACACCTGTGATTGGGCGTTTCTCCGTCGGCTCAGCATGGCGGCTTCCGATTGGCTGAGAGCCGGTCGGGGGGGGTCGGCGCCCGGCCCGGTTGCTCGTTGCTAGGGGCGGCGGATGGCGGCGGCGGCTCCTCCATGGAGACGGGGCTGAGCGGGGATCCTACAGCCGGCGGCCGGGACGCGGGGACTCCCCCGAGGAGCCTTCGATGGGGGGAGGCCCAGTCCTCGGGGTAACCCAACCCTCCCCTTCGCCCAGGCCTCAGCGCCCCGCCTGCGCCCGCCTCCCCTCAGCCCCGGCGCCCCTTTCCCGCTTCACCCCCTCAGCTCCGCCATCGCCCCCCTTCCCTCTCCAGCGCCTCCTTTGTGCTCCCCATCCCTTCCCCCGCCTCGCCCCAGCTGCCTCTCGCTTCCTCCCACCTCCATCCCCTTCCCTCATCCCCCTCAGCCCGCCCCTCGGCAACCCGGGGGAAAAAATAATAATAATAATCGTCTTTTCTTTAAACCCGCGCCCCATCCCGGTTCTCCCCCAGCCCTCCCTGCCTCCTCCCGCTCCGGAAAGCAACAGACGGTCCCTTTTGGGATGGGGAGAAGGCAGGAGGGGAGGGGAGGACGGGCAGGTCCTGGTTGTGAAGCCCGAGGGGCGAACCGGAGCCGCCCCCTTCCCAACCGACAGAGCCCTGTCCGGTGCGGGGCAGCTCCTCGGGCCGGGGGGAGGGAAGCGTTTGGAGCTTGTCTTCCCTTCTCATGCTTTTTTTTTCTTAACGAGCCAGACGAGGAAAATCTATCCCGTTTCTGTTTCTCTCTTTTTGTTGTTTTTTTTTGTTTCCAGAAAAAGGGAGAGAGAGAGAAAGGCTGGTACTGAAGCCGACCAGCTGCGCCTCTGAGTGGGAAACTGGACCGACCGCATGGCTTGCTTTTTATCTCGTTAATACTCCGTTATCTATGAAAATGAACCTTTTCTGAAGCTCTTCTCCTAACTCTCCTTGCTCCTCTTTCACGAGGGAAGAAATGGCATGAAGTAACTGACTCTGCCCAAGTGCCCAGGGAGCAGCACTGTCACTTTAACAATTCCAGGTCAAGGGATTGCTTTCCTCGTTTCCAATCCTCTCTTTTAATACATGGGAGGATCAGAGGGACATTAAAGACCGTAAAGGCTGGGTGGCTGGCAGATAATAAAAATGAAAGTGACTGGCCAGTGACTTCAGTTGGGTAAGAGGGTGATATTTGAACGCTGTTGTCTGGTGAGGAAAAAAAGGGACCTTTTCAGTCTGCTGTGTAGTCACCTAATACATAGCTAGCAAAAATCATTCAAGAAGTGAAAGAAGGTTAAAGAGTCACTTTGGATTGTTTTTGTCTTCCTCCTTATTTGGATTATTTGGGAGTTTTTGTCCTGCCAATAATATATTTTTGAGCATGTGCAGGTGGAGTATTAAGACAGCTGCCTAGAGATGGACTGTGCCTTAATTGTATTACATAAAATCTTTTAATTTTCAAACTTTGCTGCCAGAAGAGGAGTTATAATAAGGTTTTATATTGCCGAGGAACATTTTCTCTTGTATTTTTATAGATTCAAATATATTTTAAAGAAATTGAAAACATCTCTTAAAAAATCAAAAAGCTTCTTTTTTCCTTTTTTTTTTTTTTTTTTTTCTTTTTTCTGGGAAGCATCGGAAGCCCTATCCAAGAAAACAGCAAGTATTGCTAGAAATGAAGATAGAAGCTGCATTTCTTAACTGAACTGTAAAAGTGTTTTGCAATAGATAGCCAGTTCCTGACCTCGCAAAGTGTTCCAGTAGTGCATCGTTAATACCTGTAAAAAAAGTGCTTGCAACCAGATTCAGGAGTAGGAAGAAGAATGCCAGTCAAGAAGAAAGGTGGGCTATGAAGCTTCATATCTCATATTGTGTCCTCATTTTGGTAGATTGTTGATTTCTAGTGCTTACAATTTCAAATTAAAAGTGTTTTAATGGGGGATTGAAATTGTTTTTCTTTTGCGCTGGAAGTGGGAGAAAAATCTGTGCACTTACAGTAATAATTTTTAAAAGTATTTTTATGCCATGTTTTAAGACTTGTCATGTCAAATTTGGCCTCAAATACTTATTTTGTGAAGAACAGCCATCAGAGATCTTAACCAGACACCAAGAGAAAAGCTTGGCATTTAATTTTGTGAGAAGCCTGTCTTACAAACGCTAATGAATTTTAAAATCATAGGTTTAGTCAATTATCTATTCTTTACATGTCTGGCGGATAAACATCAGCCATATAAATAACAAAGTTTCAAGGCTAATTTTAAATAAAAGTCGTGCGAGTTGTGTTTTGGAGGCGATTTGAACTTTTTAAAAAATGTATTTTAAAATGTGATTTTAACTTAACTTTGATTTCCGTGCTTTAATACAATGTAAAAGTGCTATATTTATGACTGTAGTATGACAGCATTTAAGAAAAGACAACCAGGCTTCGTTTTGCCCCTTCTCTCCTAAAGTTTGTGATTACAGCAAGTATAGAAGCAGCTTTGGAAAATGTGGTTTCCAGGGTTCAAACAAGAATTGGGGAATATACGAAGGCAAATTCTTACTCTGAGAACACTTGTAGACCTTAGGTTATTTCGGGTTCCTTGCAACTGTAACACTGGTTTAAAATCTGAGAATATGCTGGTAGAATAAATGGCATGTGAACCTTTCCTCTTCGGCTCATTTATCCAGATGTCCCTGGATCTGATATATCCCTGGATCTGATGATACCAAAACGTGAGGGAAGAAGCAAAAGTGAATGTTACACGACACAAATGGGGATATAGTCAATGGATTGACTATGGATTCTTTTCCTTGTAGGAGTAACCCTTCAGTATTAGTTATGAGTTGACATTTACTATGTAAATAATGATGCAAACACGCAGATTGGTAGAATTATTTTCGTACAAAAAACAATAAATGGGATTTTGCGATTGTATTTTAACAGATGACAGTGTAGAAATTAATTTTCAGAACCGAAATATTTTAATGAATCGTTTTGTCATTCATGTAATTACTTACAATTCCGTGTAGTAAAGACAGGAACGTGTATGGAGGAGCACCCTCCCTTAATAATTCATCCTGCAATGCTGTAAATGTGTCACCATCATGCACTGGCGAGGCTTGTGTACTCTACCTGTTTACAGCAGGAAAATTAAGACTGTCTTCTCATATTTTTAAAGTCTTAGTCCTGAATTCGGTGATTTACACTAAGGATGTTTCTCTGCCAGATGTTTAGCTGCAATTCAGTTTCAAAGTACTTGCTGTAGGATTTTTTTTGGGTGAAATGAGCTCCTTTGTGCAGGAAGTTAGAGTGACAATCACAGCGGTCCCTTCTGGCCTAAAAAATCTGTGAGTTTCTTGTTTGTTTCAAGACAGTCTGGGTCGGTCTTAATATCCACCAAGGCTTTAATTTCTTCTTCTGTTCTATGAGGATATGTATTTTGACAATTTTAAAATACAAACTCAAGAGACCCAAATACCCTCCTTGAAATACTTTAAACCATCACATCAATCAGTGTACTGAAGTTGCCAGTGTGAATGTATTTGAGTATTAAAAGGATATTGTTAAAATGTATTTAAGCATGTAAATTGCAGGATTAAAAAAGTTAGCGCATCAGCAACTTTATTATTATTTTGAATGACTTAATTTGTCTAGTTCATGCAATAGAGTAACTTCTAAATGTAATTAAAAGCATGCTGGCAACTTGAAACATCCTACCATTTAAAAAAAAAAAATCCTGCTATTGTTACAAGTAATCCCTAATGCTCCTATGAATATTAGGCAGATTGAGGGGATTTTCTAGTTTGTTTTTTTTGTGTTGGGTTTTTGTTTTGTTTTTTTCCTATTTATTTGCTTTATGGTTTTGACAGCACTTTGTATTTATCTAGTTTGATCTTTCTGTTGATGACTTCTTTTCCCTTTCTGGTCTTAGGTATTTGGGAGTTCATGTCTTCTGTCTTTCCCACCTATGCCATCTGTAGAAATCTCGGTGGGATACTTTCTTTTAGGCTGTGCAAAAGTATGTATTTCAGTAGCAGCATTAAGGAAGAGGTGTATCCCTTTCCCTTTCAGCACTTCTTTATGTGTTACTGCTTTGGATTTGATCGAAATATTTTTCTAAAATCAGTATCGAGACAGAGGAATCTATAAAAACAACTTTTACAATATCCTGGTATTTATCACTGGAAGTTGTTACCAAAGGCTGCTTTCTTTGGCATTGAGCAGTTCTGGGTCTTTGTAAAGAACAGTGGATGCCTTTTGAGAATTTGCCTTTGAAAGAGCTCTCAGATCCAGTGCTGGTCTTCACATTTCACGTAGCTCTGGCCCTAATGTTCATTTTACCTTACTGCCTGGTACAGTGTCTGCCATCTTGCTTTTAAAAGTCTAGGCCTGTTTAGTCAGGAAAAACATAGTTTACTTAATAGTAAAAAATATATAGTTTTGAGGAAGTATTGCTTTCCTCTGGTTGTGGAAAAGAAGTCTTCCTCCTGGTTCTGATCGTATTTGTGTCAGTCTGTGGCTGCTCTGGCTGGATGTGCTGGAGTGAAAGGCTTTTGTTTTCTCACTTCATTCTGGGGGGAAATAAGGCTCCACATTCCCAAGAATATTCAGCGAGTTGGCCTGATAGCTGTCAGTCTCAGCAAAAAAAAAAAACAACAACTAAAAAAGCAAAGCTGGAAAAGGAGAAGGGAGTATCCTGCAGGCACTGAATGTGCTCCCTTTAGATAAGAGAGGAGACATTGTATGACTTATTGCCCTATTGCTGTGTGACTAAACAAATGCCTAATTCTCTTTGGCTTTTGGTTGCTCATTTTTCACTTAAGTACACTCACAATTTTAAAACAAACCAGCCGTTTGATTTTAGTTACTAAATTACAATGTTGGACAGTGCTGTTTAGAGA